AATATGTCATTACTGTTCCTCATGTAGCCAAAACCTTGTGTTTTTATCCATCCAGCAGTAAGATTCAGCTCCAGCAGCCTATTTTTGTGATCTGATCTTTCTTTCATTCTCTCTGATTTTCTCTGCCGGAATAACAAAATGTTTGCCTCTGGCGAAGCCATTGATTAATCCCATATTTGGACAAGCTTTGCTGCGCTACCTGGGTGCCTGTAGAAATGTTGGATTTTAATTTAAGCTCCAGCAAACAAAAACATTTTTCTGGTAAACTTTTATTGTATTTTATTTTATTTTTTTTCTTGGGTTTGGCAAGCAGCAACCGTCACGGCTGAAAGTTGTAACACAACACAGACATGCAGTTACCTGAGGCCTGCTCAAAAAGAAAGGCAAATCCCCATAGATTTAAAATGCTAAAATGCCAAACTTAAAGCAGAAATAAATATGTTTATAGTCCATTTATAACAACTGTATAGTCGCAAATATTCATGTTTTCAACTGTATAAAAGCTTAAAGTTACAACGTGTAAAATTTCACCAATAGATGTCAAAAAATTGCAGTCAAGTAAATTCTGTTTTCTTACCCTCCCAGTTCAAGTGCATAATTCCAGCTACGGTGGCTGCTGAAGGACAAACAACTCTGGCCGCCATTGATCTGCAATGAGTGTAGGCTATCAGTCCACTGTTTACCTCAGCTGTCTATATCCTGTGGTGTCCACATGTACTTATTCTGGAGGAGGCTGTAAAACTTTGTGAAAGAAGTCTGATACAAGTTAATGAGTCAGTGAATCTCACTTCTGTCTAAACACAGAGATACTGAGGTAAGTTGTTCAGGATATCCTGAATTTTTCTTATGGTGGGTGTTGCTGTTAGCCCCTGTTAGCTGCTGTTAGTGTCTGTTAGCTGCTGTTAGCCAGCATTCTTGAAACTGTCTTTGTTCACTTGTTAACTGTTGATGTTTCGCCAGTTCGTTGTCAGATGTACAAATGTAATTGAAACAATATCAGGAATAAAAGAGCATGTTTATGCAAGTTTTTGTGATTTAGAGCTCTGAGTTTAGGAGATGAGGCTTCAGGTGCGGAGGAAGAACATGACATTTTTTATTAAGACACCTGTCATGTTGTCTTTTTTCTCCTTCTTTAGTGAAGGAGACCCCCTAACAGATGATAAAACATACAGTACATGTGATCTTTCATATGTTGAGTCTGAAACGTATCAAAATTTGCCTGCAGCAGTCAAAAACTACGAGTTCCCTTCTCCTCCACCTTTGGCATTCTACATATGTGGCTGGTCTCCAAACGCATACATAAAACACAATAAAGCAAACAGCGACGCCCACCTCGGTCACTGTAAGGTGGGTCAACATGGTGGCTTAATTCTTAATCAAAACTTTATTCTAAGTTTATGAGAAAACATCAATTTGTTGGGAGACGTAATTACACAATAATCAATGTGCATTTATGAGTACAATATTCTTTTTTCTATTAAATAGTTTCAATAAATGCCTGACTGTACCTTTAAAGTTTATTAGTGTCACAGGTTAGTCCAGACAGACTCTGCTCATGTCGGCACCTTTTTAAGCATATATGTTTTAGCAGCACACCCTCTCATTCAAATATTGTCATTTCTCATTCCAAAACAAAACCTTCCTCTATTATAGACTCTATGCTTTAAGGCGATCAGATGATAAGTTAACATAGTTAGGGCTTCGTAAATTGTACATTTTTTCTTCAAAAGACATTACTTCCTTCACTAGCTACACTTTTTATCAAATCTCTTTTCTACTTAAGTTTTCAATTGAGCAAGAAGATGTCCAGCAAAGAGCAAATTTTCCATCCTCCGGGGACCTCACAGGGTTCCCTCTTAGCACTGGCCCCAGTCTGGGGTCCTGACAACATACAGCCTTTATTGATAAGATTATAAATAAAGCAGAGAGCGTAGCTGCATGTGTGTCAGTTAAGGCAGACAGAGTTTCCGAGAGAGTGTTGAAGGTCAGCTGCTTTCTCTTTTTCAACCCTGCATCCAAAACAAACATTCCATCCAGCCTACAGTCGTCAGACTGTGGAGAGAGCGAAAGCAAAGCAAGAGAAATTGGAATGAGAATTTCAAAGCACATCGGAGGCGAAAGTGAACTTTTTTTTGCCTCCTGAAAAGCTAAGGTTTCACAGTTTTGGCTTTCCCAGCTCTGAAATCCCCCATGCCTCAACAGTTATTCATCTGGGTAGACATCATCAATTACAACTAATTAACCAGATGATGGTCTGGTGAGCAGAAAATGGAAGAGGTGATTCATCACTTTGAGCACCTTTTGGGCTTCCTGTTCACAAAACTAAAAAAAAAAACAAAAAACAAAAAAACAACGAGACTAAAAAGAGATCTTTTTTTGTACCTGGGCTAATGCCCAGTAAAGGACATGTCATAAGTATTGTGACAGCTAACAAAGGAAACAACCTCAATCCCCGAGCATAGCACGGTTGGCCTATGAAATAAGGGGCACGGAGAAAAAGTAGTTGGACATATTTCTGTATTATTATTTTTTTTAGATTAACAGAGTTTTCTTCCTCCACTAAGGCACTGCTTCTCTCCTCTTTTGTTTGTCTGTGTCATGCTTCCTCTGTGGGTGAGTTACTGGCGGTTTGGGCGATGACGTAATTGTGGAAAGGTCCTGGGTGCAGTCAGACTTGTAATTCAGTGAGGAATTTTTCATCTGGTCAAGGCTGGCTGCGTGTGTCTTTATAAATAAAGTTGTTAAGTCTTCAAAGGGGGGAAAAAAAAAAGATAGAGGAGCAGGAGAGACATTAAATGAGCAGGCCCTTGCCTAACCTACTTACTATACAGGCACTGCTGAAAACCCTATGATATTCATTTCTAATCCCGATAACACAGTCACAGGTCAGATTTCTGTGCTGTTTACAGTGTGAGGTTCTGCAAATAAGAACACGCTGATGCTGAGCGTGAAATAATTCCTGTCTTGATCCAGGAAAATATTATCCTGACCAGAACGATCCAGAATTTGTCCTCCAGACGGTGTGTTTGGGGATCATTCAAGGGCTGCTCATGAGTCAGTTAAAAGATGACTGCATAAATCACCATATTCAGTCGTTCTCCATCGGTCACGTCGGTTTAGGCGAATAAAAATGATGGCCACGAATTACACATTTAGAATTTGCCTTTTTGAAATACAGTACTTTTTTTTTTTTCCCAGTAGTAGAGCAGGAGCCCAGCAAGTGCTTGCTTGGTACGCCACTGCAGGGCACTGAAATCAGCTACTGCTATCGTCAGCTGTGTTTGAAGAGGGAGCCTGTGCTGTTTCAGTGGTCTGGCACTCCCCCGCCCCATGTGTGCTTTGTTACCTCATCTTCAGTGGTGATTTATGGCTCTCACAGAGACCACTTTTCTGGGCTGTTTATATCTGGTGAAGATAAAAGAAAATCATGGCTTTATTGCCCAGGCGGAGTGGGTCTGTTTACACAGCGGAGGGCCTCATCGGGGAGCTGCAACATACCAGCATCGCACATATCTGATCTGCCTTTTCAGAAGCAATAAACGACACGAGCACGCAAATCATCCCTCCCAACATGACGGATACGTGTTAAATATAAAACGGTATCTGCTGGAGTACAAATTCTTTTACTCTCTGCTCCTCGTGGTGATAAGAGGGCATCTCGTTCTAATGATTTGGATGCTGATAAACAGCTTTGCGCTCATTATGAAAATATTTTTCCCAGATTAAAGGAAAAAACTGCTTTTTCACAGCCACGATTGCTATCGATCGATGTTTTCAGCATGCAGAGAAATTCAAGATCAAGGCTGCCTTGTGCTTGCTCTCATGTCCTCCCAGAGCTCCTTGTGTGGCTGATGTTTAAAAACTATTTGGCTATGGCGCCATCTTGTGGTGAGAGTGAATGACAGACAAAAATGCAAGTCTGATACACGTGATCAAAAAGCTTATTACAGGATTAAACAGATTTGGGGAACTGATGTTACTTCAGATCCACTACTCTATGTATTATGTGTACATCCAAATGATACAATATATGCAAAACTGATATATAAGAGTTCTGCCTTCCTAATTTTTAAAAAACCCTTTATTACAGAACAAATTACTGGAAGACTTCAGCTGAAAACAGAAACATCTTTACTTCTCTCTTCTTTTCAATGCTGTAGGTCATTTAAATATTAATTACACTTAAATTTTTACAGTGCAGACTACATTGACAAAATCTATATCATAAATGGAGGTTTAATTGAAGATATAGAAATAAATAAATATATAAAGAATCATAGAGAAATAGTTATAGAGATCAAATCAAACGTGTTTCCTATTACATGAATTAAGTCTTTTATTTAAAAAAAAGCTTTAAAATATGACAATATTTTTAAAGCCATCGCTCTACATTGGCTCATTGCAGTGATGAACTTGGAAAAATATCACCTGAACCTTAATGCAACTGATTATTCGCAATGCAATGTAAGGTTTCCATCACAGCTGCCCTAAATTAACAGCAATGGTAAAATCCGTTTTCTGAGTTTCTGTAATAGTTAATCCACCAGTATGTGCAAGAGGTTTTTTTTATTTTTTATGCCAAAATATAATTATTGTTATCTATTAATTTTTTTAATGTACCATTTTTAATTCTTTATTTTTAATTAAGATGCCAAATTACAGTCATTTACTTGCATTCCTGGACAAATTTGTTTCATTGGTTGGATGTTATGTAGTCCAGTGTGACGCCTCCAATTTGAAAACAAAAACATGAATTCAGTCATTTTTACTTTGTTGATAGATTTCTAAACTACTTTTTCTTTTTATAACAGGCAGTCTAATAAATCTCAAGTCAGCAGCTTTACAGTTTTAAGCCATTTGCTTTAATAGCACTGTTTTCAGGCACAGCAGCAGGAAAAGTGCTAGAAACCCAGCTTTATGTCAAAAGCAGAGTGGAGCACAGCCTGGAATAACCACTTTAAAACTCGCATCAACCTAGAACATAAGACATTTACGCTTTCTCTTTGACAGCATTATTTATTAGCCAACACAGATGATTAACTGTGATGTAAGGACAGTTTTTTTTTTGTTTTTTTTAACCAAGACCAAAAAGAAAACTGGCAGCAGCTAACAATACGCACTGACATTGAGGTCAGTGAGGTCTATGAACCAAAAGCAAGTTTTCAAATCAGACAAAAATAGTGTTTCAATACACAGAAATGACGGGCACTTTGTACTTCATGTCATTTGTACAGTTTCTCATGAATCCTCCTCACAGTGCCATTAGGTTACTGTGCAACTTCAGACAATAATAAAACGATCATATCTATCCAAAGGAGATCCTTTTTAAACATACTACGGAATCAATAATTGTGATGATACTGTGTAGCATGTATGGTTTTTTATTATATATGTGAAGCATGCATGTTATTCTCCTACTGCTGTCTGAAGGATACACAAGCTAAAAGCGCAGAGGCGTGTGTGTGTGTGTGAGAGAGATTCATGGCTGGGATTCACACAGATTGTTCTCTATTCTGATTTCTGATTCTGCTCATCTTTTTATAATCCCACTCCCTCGACTTCGAACTTAAACTTCTATAATCTATAAACAGCAGAGACAAAAAACTCACAAAATACCCACAGCACAACACAGCTGAGACAAAACGTTCGTCAAGGGTGTGGAGAGAAAGGCTGGGAGCAACAAATATGGCATATATATTTAATCAAATTAAAGCTTCATTTTAGTCAGAAACGATATGCATATAATAAGGATCTGTCCCCTCTATGTAACCACATGCTAAACTGCCTCTTACTGATGAACTATAAAGTGTTTAAGATGAGAAAGAGGAGGTTTTTGGTACATTAGGCAACAATAAACCGGACCAAGAATCTATAGTTATCAGTTAAGTGTGCAACAAGTCATGGTTTCATATAGTTTTATAAACTGTGCAGCACAGGGATCTGCTGATGTGACTTAAGCCAAAGCATAACAACAGCATCTGAAAGCCTTAAAGGTGCCAAATTATCCTTAAGCTTCAATGAGCTGAATCAGAAATCAGTTTTAAATTAAATTAATCCCAGTTTGATGGTATTAGTTCGAAGAGCCTAACACTGGTGAACGCAGTACTTGGGTTCAGGAAGCGAGGGGTCCCAGCCTCAGCTCCACGTGGTGAGTGAGCCAGATGGCTTCAGTGGCAGTGTCGGCTCCCTCCTCGCTCGGCCGGATGGGACCGGCGAGGTTGCGGAAGTCATGTCGGATCTTAAAAGAAACCGTGACATCCGTATCCTCTTCTTTCTGAGGGATCACTTTGATAAAGAAACCAATCTTGTTGGATTTCCTGAAGGCAACAACACTGTGGAAAAGACAGAGATATCAAGTGGAGTGAGGGTGTTTTCTCATGCCATTACTGTTAAAGAGCAAGCGTGGGTTTGTGTGTTGACTCACTCTGGGTCGTCCTGGAAGTCCTGAGGTTCGGCTAGTTCATCATACTCAGCAGCAGCATCCTTTCCTGCTAAGAGTAGTTCCTTACTGGGCACTAAAACCTGAAAAAAATAACAAGCAGTAATGTTTACAGCAAGATTTTAAATGTTAGAGTCACATTAAGATGAATTATTACACTTCTTTCTAAGTTAATCGCATCTTAAAATGAACAATGGTGGTTATTAAATAAAAAGATGTATTTTTCTGAAGTTGACACCTCACATAAAAACTCATGCTCGTCTGACTGTTATATCTGTGTTGTGTTTAAGGGGGAAAATAAGTCAACTGAATCACACTTTTTGCTAAAATTGATGCTTCTTTTCAGCTGTCAAAAGACTTACAGAGAGAACAGATGTAGTACATAAAAGATATGTAGGAGGTGGGTGAACTTAGCCATGAGAAGTAGCGATAAAACTCAACCGAGCATAGCTTGATATGGTTCGCAATATCCCTCAGGTGTTTGTATATCAGATCGAGCAGAAAGCCGGGACTGCACTCTCCGTTTGGCCATAATGTCAATGGAAATGGGTCATCAGGATGCTCTTATTTGGCCAGGAGCTCTACCTTACTCGAGCTGGCCCATGACTTCATCACTAAAGAGGCTGGTAATAAAAAAACGCCTATAGTCAGAGAGCCTCAGTGCACCAGGCAGCACTGTTAGCTGTGACTAACAGTATGAAGAGATGACGCGAAGGCTACAGACAAGCCAATTTGCAAAACAGCCGAGCTGCTGAGTAAAATTTGAATAAATAAGGTATAAGTATAGAACAAAATGGCTAACATATGCACATTTTGTATTTGGTGCCAGCACACTAGGAAAAAAATAAAAGTTTACCACCGTGTTGCATCACCTGTTTTTCTATCACTGCTTGTGGACTGAGGAGACCAACTGCTGCACTTGTGAAATCCAAACACTTTCCTTTTCTCACTTGATGCATTATCTTGCTGCTTGAGGGCCTCTTTTGTCATATTTTTTGTTTCATACCACACCAAATGTTTTCTTTCAGTGACCGGTCACACACACCCAGTCAAGCACCTGGGCTCGTTTACCACAAAGATACAGATTTCAGAAAGGAAATCAGTGAAATAACTGGATTCTTTGAACCTATTAATGATATTACAAACCTCCGTTAAAAATAACAGATAAGTCTTTAATTATCTATAAGAGCGGCTCTTCTGGTTATCATTTTGAAAACAAGTCTAATATTTGCAGTCTGAAGTTTCTTTCACTGGATGCATTTGTGGTTGCTTTCTAAAATGTCAACAGGCAAAACAAAAGAAAAAAATTGAGAACTTACAAGTAGAGCTGGGCGATAGAACAATAACGATATGTATTGCGAAATAACTTTTTCTCGATAGAAAAGTTAAACTATTGCGATAGGCCTCATCTCTCTTGTCCTCTTAAAAAAAAGAAAAAAGAACAGTCAATCCAAATTAACTAGCGCAGAGCCGAACCAAGCATAGCCGCAGCGAAGTGCCAAGCCGGACATGTGTATTTGTTTGGGAAGCAGCCAGCCGCCGTGCCGCCCGGGTAATGGAGGAAATGAGTGTGCCGACTAGAGAAAAATCAACCGAGAGCGTGACCGAAGGTTACCGAGGAGAAAACATGATGGTTCCAATGCCGGAGAGATTGTCAAACGGCAGAGCCAGAGAAGAATTGTGCCGAAAGCAAGTCTGGAAATACAATAAACCGGTGCATGCTCAATGTCTGACTGAAAGCGCTAATTCGTCATTCGGCTTTTGTCACACTAAAGTAACTGTTAAAACTGTTTGAAAAGCTCAGCTATACAACAAGGAGAGATTGAGAATTTCCTTTTAGTTCTCAGTTTATTTGATATTGACAAAAGTTAGTCAATTTTGTCTGTTCTTCTGTAAAACAAACTAAGATTTATTTTTAGAATTAATATTTTGTTTCTAAGTGGAATTGACAATTTAGTCTGTTTCATTTGTTCTATTTTGAAACTTAAACGCTTTAGCGGCTGCCTTTTGTGTAGTTTGCAATATTTGCCTTTATCTGAAAAAGTCTCATGTTCCTTAAGTACATCTACCCTGTTGAACTTATTATGGGAAATAAATATTTAAATCAAAACAAGCTGCTGATTATTTCACATTTTACTTGTGAGCAACGGCACATTTAAATCTTACAAATATAGTTATTTGGCTTATATCGTGATAGATATCGTTATCGCCTGAAATGAAAAAACATATCGTGATATGAAAAAATCGTATATCGCCCAGCTCTACTTACAAGAGATTTTAAAAACTTCATTAAAGTTACAAAGTTTTGTATCAATTTCGGATCGACTGTTGTGCCTGTGTGTCAATAGAAGCGATTAAAAAAAATAAAATAAAATACCTTTGCAGTGCTATTAATCTCATCAGGGTCATTTTCCTCACAAGAGGTCAGTGAGACACGGGTGATGTTCTCCACTGGGTTGGTCAGGGTCAGCAGCACCTGGCTCTCCTAAACAGCGAATGGCAGGAAAGAAAAAAGATAAGGCAAATGCTTGTCATCGTTTCCAAGTTTATGTGTACACTAATGGTTTTTCCTTATTTCCAAGCCTAATTACATTGTAGATTCTCACAGACGGTATCAAAACTATGAATGAACACATATGGGATCATGTAGTAAACAAAAAAGTGTTAAATAACTCAAAACATGTTTTATATTTTACATTCCTGAAAGTAGCCACCCTTTGCTTTGTTGACAGCTCTGCAAACCCTTGGCCTTGTCTCAGTGAGCTTCATGGTGTAGTCACCTGAAATGGTTTTTACTTCAAATTCCCAGAGCTTTCATGCATCAATAATTAAAAATAGACCAGATAAAATTCATTTTGGAAAATCGCAGATGTCGTGTACACATGCAGAGATGTGTCTACAATGTAATAGCCATGAAAATAAAGAAAAAACATTAAATGAGAAGGCATGTACAAACTTTTTGCTGGCAGTGTGCACAGAATAAAAAAAAAAAATCTAAAATACAAGATAATCTACCAAAGTTCGTGCAGACACTGACCTTCCCATTCCGGAGATTTGGAATGGACATAATTCTCACTTCTGGGATATAACTCCTGTGGGAGGAAGAGGAAGGCAGACAGTCAATACACTAACACACCAAAGATCACTAAACATTCAGTCAGAGTGACCTAATGTCTAAACTCCTGAAAACAAAACAAAAAGAAGAAAAAGCACACAGTGAAAACTGTCTCCATTTAATGTGCTCATGCATTTGCATGAAAAATGTCCCGACGTCTTTATACAGTCATCCAACTAAACAACATTTATACTTGACGATAAACTGCTGAGAAAAAAATGCTTCAAACGTAAACAGAAGAGCAGCACTCACACAGCCACCAGCTGAATTTTAAACTTGATTGAAGTAGGATTAAACTCTGGCTTGCTCAAGTTGTGCTCGCATTTCTGAAGAAGGGGAAAAAAAAAAGACTCATGTAAATATAATCTATTAAAAGAGAGGCTTTGATAGATATGGAACACTAAAAGCCTGAAGAGGTGCTGACCCTGCAGCGCAGCGAGCGCTTCATCAGGAGGTGTTTGTGTCTTGGGTGGAGCTGAGACGCCCCTGCAGGCTGGAAGTCTGGCTGCAGAAGCCGCTGTCGCAGCGTGGTCACTGCAAGACAAGAGAAATTACAGATTCAACTTGACCTCACTTTGACAAGCTCTCGGTACTGTTCAGCGAGCACCAGATAAGACCATACCTTCAGGTAAATTGATGGGTCTGGTGTAACAATCCTCAGGCAGGGGCTCCACCTCATCAAGTGCCTGGGCTGGTTCAATGGTGATCTCCTTCTGGTCTTCACCCTCTTTGAGGCTAATTAGATTAACATTAACATACTGCTTAATAAGCTGTTATTTCTCTTTAAGAAAGAAAAGAGAAATAACAGCTGTTATTTATCTTTAATGACAGTCTTTAAAGTAACTGGAAGTTAATTACATACACTGCAACACAAACAGTGCAGGTATTTTTGGAGGCTCTAGCTCTTTATAAATACCCTACTCACATAAAAGTTGCACGGTTACAGTTAGAACAAAGAAACTTTGGAAAACTTAAGGTTGATGCCTTCAAGGGCATCCAACTTTTCATACTTGGCTACTGAACAAGAGTCCTTTGAAACAAGAGACAACCAAGTACACATCACTCTTTTCAGAGAGTCCTCGCCAGCTTTACATTCGTCCCCTCGGTCTGACAGCATAGTTTATCAATACGCTGCCTTTTGTCAGCTAATCATTAATCCAAAATGTTAGGCAGGGTCCTTGAATGAATTCTGGTGAGCGATCTCTGTTAACAATTATATCAGTACAAGGTGATGATGCAATTTGAGAACAAGAAAAAAGGTGACAAACTGTTCATTGTGATGGATTAACTACAATAAGTATCTAAAGACAAGTTCCAAGGCTCTGTAAATTCATTTTTATGGCACCCTGAAATTAATCAAACTAATGGTTTGTGGACGGCAGAAAATTAATCTGAGTCACTGAGGTGCTGACCTTGAAAGTCAAAAAAAGTTCAAAAGGACAAAACCGGTTGATGGGATGTGTTAAAAGCTGCAATAACTGCAGATAAACATGATAATAAAAATATAAAAAAAACTCACGAAAGGCCAGCCAGGCTTGATAGTGGAGCTCCAGGCCTCTGCCTCTGCAGTCTGGTTCCAAGGCCATATTTTTCCTGAGTAGAATTGGAGGACAAAACATGATCAGAGATCTAGCCTAGTGAACACTGAAATGTCAAGATGATTATAAATATGCATCTACAGTTATTTATCTACATGACAAATACAACACAACATCCTGACCCAAAAAATGTAGTTTATGGCAAGTTTTGAGAATAAAAAAAAATGTAAAGAAGTGGAAAAACAACAAATAAAGAACAAATTGTTAAAATTAGCAGTGGTAAGAGAGAGAAAGAAGAGCCTTTGTACTCTAGACTAGAGGAAGAGAATCAACTCATATTTAATGAATAAATGTCTTGAAAGAGAAAGATCTTCTGTTGCTTCCCTCCCTCTAATCAACATAAAGGCTCTCCTTGTGTGGATCTCGGTCTCATTTACCCAAGAAACATTCATGTGATCTGTGAGGTCAGTCAGTAACAGAGCAGACAAGAACAGATAGAAAAAGAAAACAGTGCTACTGTAAAAGATGAGAATACCCAAATTGTGAAAAAGTACAACTCACCACCACATGAATAGTGTGTTGCTGGGGGATAAAAACCAAAATGTCAGAGTGCATAAGCAAAGAAAAAAAAGGAAAAAGGAGAGAATAAAGAACAAGGTGAAACCAAAGCGATCAAGCAAAACATTATTGATATTTGGTGACATGCAACGGCAACAGAAATGCATCAGTGATGGAAAACAACTGCAGGATATCACAGCTTAAGTGGCTCCACTGCGCGATAGGAAAGACGGGTTTGCATTAATGGATGTTAATTGTCAAAGAAGAAAACGGCAGGTGTGAACAATGCACCAAGCTAACAAAGCGTGAAGACCACATCCAAAGCAGGGGGGCATAAAACTCATTGTGCACATTTTCCGCAACGTTCAGGCAAATCACACTGGTGACTACCATGACATTTGTTTCTTAAGCAGGGTAACAGCATGGGCATGGTGTGAATCTGTAAACCAAGCACAGCAAGTCTATTCCCGCCTGCTTTGGCTTAAAGCATGCAAATCAAATTACATCCTTACTGACACAAAGAAATATTTCTGTATTTATTATTTAAATCAAAGTCTATGTAAATTAGTTTGTTATTTGCAATTTATTGCTGCTATTCGCAATAACGACAAATCACACAGAGGCAACAGCTAACATGAAGCTGTTCATCTGTGGGGCTCAGAGAGAGCAGAGTACCGAGAACGCCAGGGGCATGCACTGTCGTCTCCTGGCCATCTTCTTCCTGTCCCTCTCCTGCTTCTCTCGGTGGGCCAGCTGCTGGTAATACTCAATCAGTTTGTTGATCTGGAGCAAACAAACAAGAATCAGTTCTTTATGTACTTTTATAAAAACAGACTATATTGTAATTTAAAAGAGAACTGGATACATTATGCTACATATAGTATAGGTTCATATCAATACCTATATTATCACAAATTTATTATGTCCCTATATGCAATATAGTTTTTTTTCTTAATTAATAGCTTGGAGAATATTATTGGCTGATACTGGTCTTAGTAAACGCAACTTATGTAATTTTTTTTACAAGTTCGTATGATTGTATTAAAATGTGATAGACTTAAATTAAGCTGTAGAAAACTGTGGAATAATAATAATCTGCAAAAATTAAAACAGTTGACTTCCTGCAATAACTACATGTGTGTAAAGACGCTCATTGCAAGACATAAATAAATAAATGGGAGCATGTGCAGTTCGTGCATGTCAGTTTTGTAGCCTAAGCAAATGTTCAGCTATTTCAGTTTAGCCTGGGTTGTGTTATTGAGGGTGTCACTTATTCAGGGGCACATCAGTTTAAAAGCAAGCAATGTGTTATCAGGAAACATGTGAGCAACTTGAGAAAAATTTAGATGGCCACAGGGTGGAAAAAAAAACCTACCCGCTGAGTATGAGGGTTCTCCGGCTCCTGCCATCCACCACTGGCTGCAGTGAACAAAATGCAAACATCAGACTTTAGACAGTCACAGAGAACAAATACAGCCTTGACCAAAAAAGGTTAACTAGGATTAGTGAACTAGCACTCACCAACTGATTTGTCAGCCATGCCCACATCTCTTGAGGTCCAGCGACAGAAGCCGCAGGCCAAATAGTACGCTTTCTTCATGGCTGTCTTGGTAGGATCATCAGGCAGAGGAGCTGGGATGTTGGTGGCCCGAGTAGATAGTGTGTGCATGCAGCACGGGCAGTCAAAACAGTTTGCACACCTACAACAGAGCACACCAATAATTAAGAATGAAACTAAGGTCGCTAATTACATAGTGACATAAGGGGTGGAATATAAACACGAAGCTTTTTCTACGAATCTGCAAAGAAAAGCAGATCAATCTTACCTGTTCTTTTTAAGCTTAGCCTCTGCAGACGGCATGTTTTCCAAACAGCTGGGACAATAGTGGGAGTCCACCTGAACACAGAGAAGTCAGTCTTAAAGTGTATTTTAAACACGCTTCCCAACTGCTGGATTACCAACAGTGTTATGAGGAATAAATAGGATTATCGTTGTACCATTCCTTAGAACAGTATGGTACCATGAAACAGGGGAACCCGTTTTATTTCATTTTTATCTATTCTTCAATGAAGTAAAAGTTAAGCTTTCAATCAAGTAGTAGTATATTAACAAATATTCGTCAGGGTATTTTGTGATGATGGTGATGCTACTAGCTAAATCGCTCTGGGCGTGGTGTCTGTAACTTTGAGTTAGGTTTACAAGGTTTTAACAGTGAGGGCGTTAGCAAGGACAGACCGACATCAAAATATTTTGCTTGTGTACTTGTTTTAATTAGAGAACATGCCACCCACAGCTTTATATAAGCTAACCTGTGCGTTTAATGCTAAAGCCGACAGATAGCAACGGCTCATTAGCTTGCGCTTGCTTCTTTCAACAAGCGGAAGTGAAACCGTACAACCAATGAGATTAGGGGACCGTTTGATTGACAAACGGCTTGGCAAGACAACTCAGCATATGGCTGAACTAGTCCCTCCCGCCTGTCAAAGCTAACAGAAGGTAACAAAGTAGCTAGAAAAGGCTAACTGTTAGCGGAGGATGATGAGAAAAACACTAACGTACCTCGTGAGACACGCATTCCAGAGATCGTAGCTCACTGCAGTAGCGACAGAAATAAAGCTGAGACAGGGGGGCTCTAATTTTTTTCTCCCCACGAACCAGATAGACAACTCTATCTGGCTGCAGAAGGGACGCCATCTCCGAGGAACGTAGACGAGCCCAGCGACTCACTGGACCGTCTGCTAGTGTTGATGCCACCGCTGGTTGCTTGGCTGGAGAAACCAATGACTGTAGAAAACAGTGAGCTCATCGTCGCCCTCGTGTGGTGAATATAGAAAACGCCACGTTTATGTTTTGGCCAGAGTTGTGTGTGAGATTTGCGTTTGTGGCCTGTTGTTCCCATTTCTTTAGCCGAATGAAAAACAGGAAGAAAAGTTTGAGGTATATCAAATTACGCAAGAACTAGACTGATAATCAGTGGAAACGGATCTTGCAGAGTGATGAATCCAAGTTTTAAATTTTTGGTCCAAATTATCAGCAATATGTTTGGAGCAGGTTTGGGGCGAGGTACAACAGTGAGTGTCTATAGCCATCAGTAAAACACAGTGGAGCCTCTGTCATGATTTGGGGCTGCATTCCAGTCAGCAGTGTTGTAGATCTCATACAAAATGGATGGAATTGTGAACAAACCCAGAAAAAAACAGTGAAATTCTGATCCATGCAATACTAAAGCATCTACAGTAGTGTAGGTCTTTATCTTTATGCTTTAAACTTTAAGATTTAAAAACAATATTTGTTTCCCTTATTCCCACATAATATTAGAAAGAATCACATTTTTCTTATAATTGGCTCTACTTAAACAGTAATGATTAAGTCCAAGAATATCTCAGGATGACACAAAGAAGATATGGCAGGAATCCTGGAGTTTTGACAAAGCTGCATTTTATTTTATATATACTGTATAAAAGTATTTGTATGTTCACTTATTCATGTCCTCACAGCCCCTTGCAACTGATCATAATCAATTAAATTTCAGTATTTCTCCTTAACCAGAGAAATTCATGGGATATTTGGCCCTTCTGGTGCCTCTTGCTTCCCCGCTGCATAACAACTTATTCTGGCCTGCAGATCTGAGCCGAACGCTGTGTACAAAATACAGTGAGCGATACACTCGAACAGGCTTGCAAAGACTCCTGCCAGCCACCCACAGGGCATATGGCCAAGTACCAGCTCACCATGGCAACAGCTGATCCCGGAGAGGAGAGAGGAAGAGAAATGATCCATGAATAAAATAAACCAACAGTAGGCCGCTTAGCTCTCATGCATTCATGAAGATTCGGGTAAGTTCAACTTGTAACACCGCAGGAGCTTTTTATTCATTTACTTTAGCATAAATGTTTCATTCAAAGCACACTGACTGCAGTTATAGCAGCAGTTATAGTAACATATGCACTTTTGAAACTATGTCACACTGCAGTATCTCTGTTAATAGGTGAGATTTGACACTATAAACTACTATAAACACAACAGGTTAGTGCTGAGTTTATAGTGTCTAAAGCTGCTGCCATGTCGGTGCTGTGGCAGATTTGAAAGTACAACTCAATATTGATGTGCAGCTCAGCTGGTTTGTATTCAATACACACTGAGTTCTACATGTATTTATTTTTTCAATCTCAGATTCACGAGACATGATTATTTAATCCTCCAAACAGAAGAAAAACAACACATTACAAGAGAGGTCCTCGGTTAGGGTAAACTAATCTTGCATAACTGGCTTGATAAGTCAAGCAGAAAGATCCTGATTTGTTCAGTGTAATGTGCCCCCTGTTGCTTAATTCCAGTGTGTTCTGTTTAATAGTAATCCAACAGTCAAACACACACAAATCCAAGGCCATGCACACAGAACCTCATGCTCTCTGTCTGAATAGTAAGTTAGAGATTCATGAAGGTGTCTCTTGATTGTAGAGTGTCACAAGATAGTCTTAGCTCTCCCAGTGTTCTTCACTTGGATAAACACTGTAAAGTTGGTTTTCTTAACCATGGAAATAATTCTGTCATCATCCACTTTAGTTGTCTTCTGTGGAACTTAACAAGGTTCCAAGTAGAGCTTCAACATGCAACAAGAAGAAATCTAAATCTGTGCAAAACTGTGGATTCATTGTCATTTTCTGTCAGGTAGTCACACCGTCATGACGTTCTGATTGCAAAGGCAAAAAAACATTCCCTTTTTGAACGTGGCCAGGTTATTGAACTGCATAAGCAGGGTTTGTTTGTTTGTGAATTTATTTCGAACATGTAAACAATATACAGGTACATTTAGTAAAGAAAATTAGAGAAAAAATACTATACAAAATAAAGTCAGTACATTTCAATAGTGCCTCTGTTCGGATTCATTTACATGTCAAAAGGGAGTGGGAAGAAGTACACACTTATTTAATCCCACCCCTTTGCCATAAGTTATCAGTCAATATTTAGTCAGCTTCCTTACTTATATAATCTGTAATAAAAAGTGAACAGATTTCTGATATACTATATACTATAATATCACATCATGAAATTTTGTAAATAGAGACATTCACTTAATTTCCCTTTCTTTATAGTTCAAGAAGATCATGTCTTTATAACTCTTTTTTAACTGTTTTATATTTGTTATATATTCAAACTGTTCCACAGTTTCACTCTATGCACAGAAACACAAATGCTTTTTCTTGTAGTACATACCTTCCCTGTTTTGAAGTTACAAAAAACCCTTAAATTGTTTGTGGTCCTCCATAAATTAGAACTTACTTCTTTCAAAAAAAAAAAAACATACTCTGAATATTACCTGGTAGTTCTGTATTTTTTGCTTTGAATAGAATTTGTGCTGTTTGGAATTTCACTAGATCAGCAATTTTTAATATTTCATCCTGCAAAAATAGTGAGTTTGTATGTTCACTATAACCTGCATTGTGGATGATTCGAACTGCTTTTTTTTTTGAAGAGTAAAAAGTGAATGTAATGTGGTTTTATAGTTATTGCCCCAGACCTCTGCACAATAGCTTAAGTATGGTGAAACCAGTGAACAGTAGAGAATATGAAGTGATGTCCTGTCTAATACCTGCTTTGCATCGTTTAATATTGCAATGCTTTGTGATACTTTGGAATGAATACATATTATGTGAGCTCTCCAGTTAAGTTTTTCATCTATTATTACCCCCAGAAATGTATTTTCACTTACTCTTTCAATATCAACACCATTTATTTGAATCTTAGCATTTGTATTTGTACTATCTCCAAATTACAGAATTTTAGCTTTATTCAAATTTAACGATAATTTGTTTTTATGAACTTCACTTTACTTATTTCATTAGTCATGTCATCCAATAAATTCTGCATATCATCACCAGAGCAAACTATGTTAGTATCGTCAGCAAAGAGAACCATTTTTAATACTTTGGACACTTTACAAATGTCATTAATCTATAAGTTGAAGAATTTTGGGCCCAAAACTGACCCTTGGGGTACACCACAAGCAACCACCATTTAATTTCACAAACTGCTTCCTGTCACTTAAATAACTCCGGACCCAATTTAAAACTAACCCTCTGACACATTAACGTTCCAGTTTTCTTATTAATATATCATGATCTAAAGCTGAAGCTCTACTTGGAACCTTAAGATCCAGCCATGCAAAATATGATTGTTTGCCTTTTTTCAAGTGGTCTTAAACTTTTGATCAGGATTGTACTTCTTCTTTAACTTTTGCAGCGGTTTCAAGGTGTCTAAAGTCCCTGATAACTTTGACAACATCACACACATAAACGTACATCTACTATTATTTTTTCTTTGTATATATGTATACAAAGTTCCCTGTCTTGTTTGTGGGTTAAATCTTGGTTAGACGAATAAAATAAGAATTTCCTGTTTGTTTGTTTTTTTTTTAGAATAGAATAGAATAGAATAGAATTCAACTTTATTGTCATTGCACATGCACAGGTACAGGGCAACGAAATGCAGTTTGCATCCATCCAGAAGTGCTTTAGTGATATAGATAATTATTTCAATATATATTAGCAATAATATAGATATGTGAGTATATTACAGAAATGGGTCTATTATGGCATGTTATAATGTACACGGTATGAATTGTAATTTGTAATTTGTAATTGTTTATTATTTGTTTGGCATATATAGGCCACCTTACCAAATCGCAAGCATTGTTCTGCCCACAACATTAGCGCTAAGAACGAATAGGTATTTTTCTGACCTGGAGACTACTGACACGTTCATCCGCGCTCACAATCGGTGCACGTCAACAGATGACGACACCTCAGCCAGTTCATTTATCGAGAAGACAGACATCCACAGAGAGCAGTCACCGCGTCTGGGGGAAGGACTGCACGATGTGGGCCGTGTTACCGCTACTGCTGCTCGGTCTGCTGCTACCCGGCTCACCTGTTTACGTTGTAGGTTATCAGGTGAGTGTTGCTTGATTTTCATGGAAAAACAGTCTTCCACAGCATAGGCCTATTTTACTCTTGCAGTTGTTTGTTTGGCCCTGTGTCCGTGTTTTCCAGAATGTTCTTTGTCAAAGATCAAATTATTTGCGTTAAATTATGAGGAAGTTTGAGCGACAATAACTTCCCCAATTGCTCACTATCTGTGCTCAACACACATCTCTTTCAATAACTTCTGCTTATTACTGCTTATTCAAGCTTATGCTGGACAGCAAGCCTTTGAATAGAAACATAAACACCTGTTACTCTGGGCTTCTTTTGTTGGTGAATTTCTAAGCATGATTGCATCCTTTTTCCAAGCTGTGCTGATTTATTGTGAAAAATGACCGTCTAAGGAAGCATCTGGCAATCATCAGCCATAATGACAAGATAAAGTGCATCAACAAAAGCGAATAGCTTAAAACAGAGCCATTTGGAACTGTAATGGCCCTCTGCGTTCATGTTTTTGAATATTGTGATACCCATTTTATATAGAGTCACATCTGCTGCATTGGTAATTTCACGTAAAGATTTCTGGCTGGGTGAGGGTAATTTGACAGCTAAAGTCCCTTTAACTGTTTGTCAGCAGAGTTCTCCTGTTGACACAGAGCTTGATGTTTACTGTAAGGAGCTCTGTTGCCCACACAACAACGCAGGTATGGAGGGGGAAGAAGGGGAAGTATTGCAGCTGTCCCTGATGCTGCTTATTTGGTTAAAGCTTCAGGATCAATTTGGGCAAACAAACTCCTGACATCTGTAGTGGATGGTCAGACTGTCGTGGTGATTGTTTATTTGACCTTGACGGGGACGAAAAAGTAGCTGATAATGAGATTTTCCTATGTGTTGTT